AAAAAAAAAAAAAAAAAAAGAGGTAGGGGAATTATGACAATGGCCTTTGACAGAGGAACATTCTGAAGATTATGTCCATGTGAGGAAAGCAAAGGAGAAACAGTGAGGTGGAAAACTAAGGCAATTACCCCTGAATAATTCAAGTCTCAAATCTCAATTTAATATCATAATTTCAGGATTTTCTTTGTATGCCTGATTTATTCAGGTAAGTAGTGTAAAATTCTCCACTTTGCATGTAACTGTCCCTTTCCACATATGAACATGCATCTAATGGCCATTCTTGGTGCGGAAGTAAAAAGGATAAGCCCAAGTCACCGTCACTTTAAAGCAGGGGACCTTTAAAAGAACAAATCATGACTTCCTGTTTTGGCCTCATAGATGACTAACTCCAGGGTAGCAAATTCAAAGCCCTACAGAGCCAAGAGATATCATGAAGTGAACTACAGTAGGTGAAGTAGAAAGCTTGGGTTCCCTCTTAAGGGTAAGTGGCTATGCAGCTTAAGCCAATAGTAGACATGAACAGCAACATGTGTAGCTAGATATTTTGATGTTTTTATAAGAAGCTATAAATCCAGATTTTATGCACAAATCTCTTAAATTACATATATTGTCAGCTATTTTTTTCAAAGCCATGACATTAAAAAAATCATCTTGTCTGTGGGCTATGTTTTTTGAGTCACCAGTTTATGACCTTTGATCTAGACAGTCTTCAGAAAAGGCCACCCCATTCCTTATTGATGATGTCAATTAGAAATCTAGTCCATTCACTCAGTAAGACTCCTCCAAGTGAATACTACCCTTAAGGAACCACAAAATAATCTGTGTGGTTACTCAGATCCTGATGTAACTTTAGCAGTCCAGGTCTGTAGCCAGTGCCCATTGAGAAGAAAGCCCAGTGAGGCTGGGAAGCCAGCACCTTAAGTGAATTATTGGACCACTTTCCTTTGTCAGAGTTTATGAATCTTAGCAAAGCACTATCACATAAAGCGGAGAGAAGAAGGCTGCTTGGTGTTTGCAGTTGGCACAGAATGCCTTGGGAGAATCATTCGAGCACTAGGATGCACTTCTAACACTAGTTACTGCTTCTGGCTTTTCAGTGAGTGGTCAGCAATGTGGTCATTCACGAAGTTTCCTGACTTGGGCAGAATCTAAAGTAGACGTGGCTGTTTCTTCTCACTTGAGACTTACATCAGGTACCTTAGTATGAGGCAGAGCTCTTAAAGTGTTTTAGACGTAAACACCTCCCAGAAGGAAAGAGTGGTGGGGAGGCCAAGCCTATAGGTTACCAGAGTCACACTTGTACCTTTTGGGGCCAAAAAGTGGCTTAACTGCAGTCTACACTCTTCCTCTCAGCACCAATGTTGAAAGAGACTCCAGAGTTCTAGATGGTACCCTGAGAACTTGTAAGTTCTCATCTTGTAAGTTGGCCCTTCCCTTTTAGTGAAGTTGGGTATCAGAAGGAAGAGTTAAGTGCCTTTTCTAACGCCAGCCTCTGGCTCACATTCCAAGAAAACGTTACTCCACAGGAAACAAAATTCACCCTCCCAGGGATGACGTACACATTTGTCTTCTTACCGAGACTCCCTGAGAAAAAGGGAGTGAAAAATTCATTCTCCCTTTAGGAGGTACACAGGTCAAAACAAGGTAGACTCAAGCTCACATCTGAGCCACATGATCCAAGCCAGTGTTACTAGAACTCTGTATTATGTGGGATCCAGGCACAGCCCCAACTGATAAACATGTCCCATTTGTTTTCCAAATGTTATAATTATTTGTGCTGTGCCTCCCTTGAGAACCTCACGAGAGAAAGGGTGATTGACATGGCAGGATTCTGAAATTCTTCAATCCTCTTGCCAAATCCTTAGCTTTATATTTTAATCCTGCCAGGTAGTTGGTCTGTATATTAGCTTGTTTATATCTAGCTATTGTCTACCTCCCTTCAGAGCATAGGCTACTGCAGCTCAGGTTAATACCTGTTTTGAACTTTCATGTTTCCTGGCTCATTTCTCATCGCTAAGCCAGTAGGTGTAACCAGAATACTTTACTGCCCCATCCATCTTTGCATATCTTCATCTATGACTGTTTAATAATTGATGCAAACCTCATGAATCACCCCACATTCCAATTTCAAGATACTGAAACTTCTGATACAAATACTCTTGTTTGCAACAGGCTTGTGGTAGAGGAGAAATTTCTTGATAAATTAGAAAACTCACGCTGCTGAAGACAAAATAACTCTTCCTGAGCATGACAGTAAACTAGCAAACTTGGGACAAAAACTTCATCTGAAATCATGGTGAAAAGAAATCAATTCATCAATTCAACATGGCTTTCATCTTTTAAACAGTATGTGTATACAACAACTCATTTTATCAAATGCCGAGCTGAATCACACCATTCTAATAAAGCTATAAACTTGACCATTTCCCCTCTATCCTATAGAGATGTGGATAAAGTGCATGTTTTTTGACTAAAAACAAAAAAACAGAGGCCAAAAACAGTTATGGAGGTCAAATGTAGTTAACATGATTTTTTTAAAGGAAACCCTGGGAGGTATGACGTTTGCCCTGTTCCACATTTATTTGTGCTGATTTAATTTCCACAAGATGGTGGCCTCGTAACCCCATTTCTAGTGCAAGAGGCACTGCTAAGACGGAGTTTTTCTTTTTTAAAATCAATCTCTGCTTCTTACAAAGGTTCCAGACAAGTAAATTCATACATACAGTCTCCATTTACCTGAATAATAGAAATTGACTTGGCCATTTTATGCCTGTGATTAGGCTGAAGAAATAGTGGGAACCCCTAGTGACTACCCTAGTCTCTCACAGTACCATGCTGGGCTGGCATCTACACAATGCCTGGGCTGGGCACAGTGATTAGGCGATGCCCAATTCAAAGAGCAGGGTGACTGTAGATAAAATGATGGCTCAGTTTAGACCTGGAGAGGACCTAAACCCAAATCCTCTAGTGGGACAAGGTCTACCGACCAGGTCACTAGCACTGGCCTCTCTGCATCAATCATAGGGATTCAAATGAGAGAGTAATTTAATTTAGCCTTCAGAGCCCATTAAATGTTTTATCTTTCATCTAAGCAACATTTGGGAGATAATACTATAAAGTCATTTACTCTACTTATATCAGCTGGCTAGTTCTGCCCAATTAAGAGTTGGCTTTCTTCCTGATGATAAGCTCAGCTCTAGGCAGAGTTGTCTGCTTCTTCAGTGAGGATGAGGACACCTTCAGCTAGGTGGAAAACATGTTGCAGTGGAGGACAGCTGTGAAATACAGTTGGTTGTGGGAAAGTCTGTGCTGAGAGAATCTGGGAGGTCACTTCCAGGCTGAAGTGCTGTGATTAATTGCCAGTGGGTCCTGCATTGCATGGTGGGGGAACAGGGGACAGCACGTGTACCCTTTGTCATCACTACATAGGGGCTTGTAGCTAGATTGGCAATGACTGTGTGGCTCATTAAATAAATAGGGGAGTCTCAGGCTCCCAGTGGGAATTAAAATTACTCCTTCTGTCTATGTAAAACTGTGGCCTCCTTCGTGAGTTTTGGTTCATAGCCCAAAGTCAGCCTCCATTATCTCAGATAAGGTTTTCTCTAGTAAAATTTGATAAATGAAATAGTGTGTTGGAGTATACTTTCTATCAAAATGGGGGGATAATATGAAGTCTGG